ACCCACGCACGCACATGATCATTTTTATTTATCTTTATTTTATTTATATATTATTTATTGCTAGCACAATATTCATCATCGATGGTTTGTTTGTAGAATGTGCTTCCCCTGGCGAAAATAGGAGAAATTGACCGCTGGTTACGTATTCGTCCCTGTTTACGTTTCCTGCATGGACATCGTCACACGTCAAGCGAATATAACCACAATTAAAAGAAACTTAATTACGGAGGACGGGAGTATTTTTTTCACAAAACCGAATTATTTCCTCATATTCTATTAATTATTATTAACTTTATTATATGCTATACCTCTCTTTTTATGAACGAAGAGAGTCTAGCGCGACAGAAACGCGCAGAGACGTATATAGGACGCTCCACCCATCAACCGCTCCCCGAAAAAAACCCACAGACGAACACCGCTTAGAATGAGCTAATCGTTAATTCAGTTAATTTCGCAATCATATTAAAAGAAATTTTATCGTATGATATAAAAAAAACTTCGTAATCAGCGCTATTAGCAGCGGGTTCAAGGACCGGTCTATAATCATGTCTATCATCGTGTATTTTTTGTTAGTCACCGCACGACACCGCCCACGTCATTGGCGTAAGAATCTGAACCATCTGCGGAGGGCATGTGTCTCAAGGGGGGAGAGGGAAACGCACTGCGCGGCAGTTATGCGTAGATGGTATACGCATCATATACACTGGCAGCAAGAACAAGCCCGCACGTACAGCACACACGCGGCCATTGACTATATATATTAACTAATATAACTAATATAATATAACATAATTTTATTATGTTAATATATATAGCCAATGGCCGCGTGTGTGCTGTACGTGCGGGCTTGTTCTTGCTGCCAGTGATCATATATAGCCGCGTTCACACGAGACGTCGAATGAATAACGCGGCGGAGTTTTTGCATCGTGTGTAGACGATCATATTTTCGTATGACTATAGTACTCACAGGCACTTGGGACAGAGTCAGTAAAAACTTAAAATAATATGAACGCACATTCACAAATAGGCCCTACTACCGTACCTCTCAATTACAGTACACAAACACACATATATATATATATGCATCTCATCAGGATATACACAATGTTCATGTAACGTTCATGTACGTATGACGTATGACAGAGAGAGATGTAGCTCATCAAAACCTAATAATACAATCGTATGTTATCACGTAGTGTCACATAGTATCTCGTATCTATTAGTAAGCCGCAAGTAATAAACCACTTACAATACGAAGAAGGCGACGGCGTTTTGGGCCTTGTTAGCGTGCAACACCGCCCACGATTCCCGGATGAGATCTTTCTCCTTGGAAGTCAGTGTAGCCATCCTGATACGCTACGTTATCTGTGTGTATGTAAGGAAAATGGCTGAGTAATTGTCGACACGTCATGGATTACTTAATCGTATGTAGATGATATTCATTTAAATGAATGCGCGCGCGCGTACACTTACACACGCTTACACGCTCACTCGCATGCACGCGTACTTGTGCGCACACTCGTACACGCGCACATACATACGCACGCGCCTACTTTAACGCGCACATATAGCGCACCAATCCACACACACACACACACACACACACACACACACACACACACACACACACACACACACACACACACACACACACACACACACACAC